CAACAAGAAGAGCTAACTATCCTAAATATATATGCACCCAATACAGGAGCACCCAGATTCATAAAGCAAGTCCTTAGAGACCTATAAAGAGACTTTGACTCCCACATAATATTAATGGGAGATTTTAACACCCCACTGTCAATATTAGACAGATCAACAAGACAAAAGGTTAACAAGGATATCCAGGACCTGAACTCAGCTCTGCAACAAGCAGACCTAATAGATGTCTAAGAACTCTCCACCCCAAATCAACAGAATATACATTCTTCTCAGCACCACATTGCACTTGTTCTAAAATTGACCACATAATTGGAAGTAAAGCACTCTTCAGCAAATGTAAAAGAAAAGAAATCACAACAAACTGTGTCTCAGACCACAGTGCAATCAAATTAGAACTCAGGATTAAGAAACTCACTCAAAACCGCATAGCTACATGGAAACTAAACAACTTGCTCCACAATGACTACTGGGTAAATAACGAAATGAAGACAGAAATAATGACGTTCTTTGAAACCAATGAGAACAAAGACACAACATACCAGAATCTCTGGGACACATTTAAAGCAGTGTATAGAGGGAAATTTATAGCACTAAATGCCCACAAGAGAAAACAAGAAAGATCTAAAATTGACACCCTAACATCACAATTAAAACAACTAGAGAAGCAAGAGCAAACACATTCAAAAGCTAGCAGAAGGCAAGAAATAACTAAGATCAGAGCAGAAATGAAAGAGATAGAGACACAAAAAAACCCTTCAAAAAAATCAATGAATCCAGGAGCTGGTTTTTTGAAAAGAAAAACAAAATTGATAGACCACTAGCAAGACTAATAAAGAAGAAAAGAGAACTAAGAATCAAATAGACACAATAAAAAATGATAAAGGGGATATCATCACTGATCCCACAGAAATACAAACTACCATCAGAGAATACTATAAACACCTCTATGCAAATAAACTAGAAAAGCTAGAAGAAATGGATAAATTCCTGGACACATATACCCTCCCAAGGCTAAACAAGGAAGAAGTTGAATCTCTGAATAGACCAGTAACAGGCTCTGAAATTGAGGCAATAACTAATAGCCTACCAACCAAAAAAAGTCCAGGACCAGACAGATTCACAGTTGAATTCTACCAGAGGTACAAAGAGGAGATAGTACTGTTCCTTCTGAAACTATTCCAATCGATAGAAAAAGAGGGAATCCTCCCTAACTCATTTTATGAGGCCAGCATCATCCTGACACCAAAGCCTGGCAGAGACACAACAAAAAAAGAGAATTTTAGACCAATATCCCCCTGAAGAACACTGATGCGAAAATCCTCGATAAAATACTGGCAAACCAAATCCAGCTGCACATCAAAAAGCTTTTCCACCACGATCAAGTTGGCTTCATCCCTGGGATGCAAGGCTAGTTCAACATATGCAAATCAATAAACATAATCCATGACATAAACAGAACCAACAATAAAAACCACATGATTATCTCAATAGATGCCAAAAAGGCCTTTGACAAAATTCAACAGCCCTTCATGATAAAAACTCTCAATAAACTAGGTGTTGATAGAACATATCTCAAAATAATAAGAGCTATTTATGACAAACCCACAGCCAATATCATACCGAAGGGACAAAAACTGGAAGCATTACCTTTGAAAACTGGCACAAGACAAGAATGCCCTCTCTCACCACTCCTATTCAACATAGTGGTGGAAGATCTGGCCAGGGCAATCAGGCAAGAGAAAGAAATAAAAGGTATTCAATTAGGAAAAGAAGAAGTCAAATTGTCCCTGTTTGCAGATGACATGATTGTATATTTAGAAAACCCCATCATCTCAGCCCCAAAACTCCTTAAGCTGATAAGCAAATTCAGCAAAGTCTCAGGATACAAAATCAATGTGCAGAAATCACAAGCATTCCTATACACCAATAACAGACAAATAGAGAGCCAAATCATGAGTGAACTCCTGTTCACAATTGCTACAAAGACAGTAAAATACCTAGGAATCCAACTTACAAGGGATGTGAAGGACCCTTTCAAGGAGAATTACAAACCACTGCTCAACAAAATAAAAGAGGACACAAACAACTGGAAGAATATTCCATGCTCATGGATAGGAAGAATCAATATCGTGAAAATGGCCATACTGCCCAAGGTAATTTATAGATTCAATGCCATCCCCATTCAAGCTACCAATGACTTTCTTCACAGAATTGGAAAAAACTACTTTAAAGTTCATATAAAACCAAAAAATAGCCCACATTGCCAAGACAATCCTAAGCAAAAAGAACAAAGCTAGAGGCATCACACTACCTGACTTCAAACTGTACTACAAGGTTACAGTAACCAAAACAGCATGGTACTGGTACCAAAACAGATATATAGACCAATGGAACAGAACAGAGGCCTCAGAAATAACACCACGCATCTACAACCATCTGATCTCCGACAAAACTGACAAAAACAAGAAATGGGGAAAGGATTCCCTATTTAACAAATGGTGCTGGGAAAACTGGCTAGCTGTATGTAGAAAGCTGACACTGGATCCCTTCCTTATACCTTATACAAAAATTATTTCAAGATGGATTAGAGACTTAAATGTTAGACCTAAAACCATAAAAACTCTAGAAGAAAACCTAGACAATACCATTCAGGACATAGGCATGGGCAAGGACTTCATGACTAAAACATCAAAAGCAATGAAAACAAAAGCCAAAATTGACAAATGGGATCTAATTAAACTAAAGAGCTTCTGCACAGCAAAAAGAAACTACCATTAGGGTGAACAGGCAACCTATTACAGAATGGGAGAAAATGTTTGCAATCTACCCACCTGACAAAGGGCTAGTATCCAGAATCTACAAAGAAGTCAAATTTACAAATTTACAAGAAAAAAAGAAACAACCCCATCAAAAAGTGGGCAAAGGGTATGAACAGACACTTCTCAAAAGAAGACATCTATGCAGCCAACAGATACATGAAAAAATGCTCATCACCACTGGTCATCAGAGAAATACAAATCAAAACCACAATGAGATACCATCTCATGCCAGTTAGAATGGCAATCATTAAAAAGTCAGGAAACAACAGATGCTGGAGAGGATGTGGAAAAATAGGAATGCTTTTACACTGTTGGTGGGAGTGTAAATTAGTTCAACCACTGTGGAAGACAGTGTGGCGATTCCTCAAGGGTTTAGAACTAGAATTATCATATGACCCAGCAATCCCATTACTGGGTATATACACCCAAAGGATTATAAATCATGCTACTATAAAGACACATGCACACATATGTTTATTGTGGCACTATTCACAATAATAAAAACTTGGAACTAACCCAAATGTCCATCAGTGATAGACTGGATTAAGAAAATGTGGCACATATACACCATGGAATACTATGCAGCCATAAAAAAGGATGCATTCATGTCCTTTGCACGGACATGGATGAAGTTGGAAACCATCATTCTGAGCAAACCATCACAAGGACAGAAAACCAAACACTGCATGTTCTCACTCCTAGGTGGGAACTGAACAATGAGATCACTTGGACACAGGATGGGGAACATCACACACCGGGGCCTGTCAGGGGGTGGGGGAGGGATAGCATTAGGAGAAATACCTAATGTAAATGATGAGTTGATGGGTGCAGCAAACCAATATGGCACATGTATACCTATGTATCAAACCTGCATGTTGTGCACATGTACCCTAGAACTTAAAATATAATAATAAAAAAAGAAAGAAAGAAATCCACTATAGAAGTGACCAAGGAATTTCAGTATCGAAATTTTTTTTGAGCCCAGGATAGCTTTGAACTCCCAGGCTCGAGCAATCCTCCCCACTCAACTCCAGATAATTACAGGCATGAGCTACAATGCATGGCTGATCTTTGATTTTTCTCAATGTCACTTGGGTCTTTTGTGGCCCAGACTAGACAGGGGAATAGCCTGATCATCTGGCCAGATCTAAACTGAAATACCTGATGAGGCAGCTATATTTGGAGAGGCTGAGCTGAGATATGGAAGATGAAGATCTGGTATTGAGGATTCAGGCTTGTAGGGGAAATCTTCAAATGCAAATTATGCACCCTAATTTTTTTAACCGATTCTTTCTTCTGGCTATAATTTACTTTTTTTGGAGATTGCATATATTTACACTTATTTGCTAGGTGTTTGTATTTCTTTTCTGAATTGCCTTTTCACCTTGATAGTGTATTTTTTGTTCAGTCACTTAGAATAAAAATTCAAGTGTGAAGAAAGAAAAATACTTAATGTAACCTTTTGCTTTATTTTAGAAACTTTTATTTATGTGATTACGCATTTCCTAGATACTAGTTATTTCTGTTCAAGGCCATTTACTCCAGCACCCAAGTGGATTTCTTGATTGCAGATTTATTACTATAGAATGTATTTGCGTAGAATTATTTATTTCCATTACACTGACCTTATTCACACTTCCGTGGTTTAATACAATGAAAAGTTGCTTTGACATTGAAGTTCTGTATTGAGTACCACAAGATATTATTCCCTTACAGCACTTGTATTGTAACTTGCAAACTGAACGTTTGAAAAATCAAAATGAAAGCATGCAGTATAAAGGTCTGCCTTAGAAGGATAATAGCATGCATGTAGGGTACTGTTAAAAAGAGGATTGATTGCATTAGCAGCATCTGGATTTTAGCACAGGGGTCAGTAAATTAGTGGTTGTAGGCCAAGTCCAGCCTGCTGCCTGTCTTTGTAAGTACTTTTTTTTTTTTTCTAACCTTTAAGCTCTTTGGACTTGAGTAAGTAAAGTTTTACTGAAATACAGAAAAATAAAATAAAATAAAATAAAAATAAAGCACACTCACATAACCTAATGACACTTTGCCTTTGTGTTTGGTATATTTATGTTTATTCAACCTAAACACAGTATGTCTATAATTGAATATTTTCAATAAAATTTTGGTATATCAGAAACAAGAATTTTAGTATAATATTTCTAGAGGAAGTTTTTAGTCTCAATTACCAAACTGGTATATTTTCAGTGAGCTAAAATCTCTGATGTATAACCAAAAATGAATCATTTTCAAAGCTACAACTTATTCAAAATATTCATAAGATGTTTCAAATATCAAATATCTGCTGCTCACTAAGATGGCCCTTTATTACCAGGCAAAATATTTATCATACTTACAAAGTTTTTCCCCTTCACTGTTTTTAATTTAAACTGAGTAAGTTAAGCACGAAAAGGTTTCTGGACTTTCAGAAGATGCTAACAGAGACTTCTTCTTTCTGTACTTTCTCAGATTCATGAATTCTGATAAAAGGCTTTCCACATTTGTAGATTCACAGGATTTCTGCCTTCGGTGTGTTTTCTGATGTGCTATGAGTGATGACTTCTGGTAGAAAGTCTTCTCACATTCATTACATTTGTAGGGTTTCTCTCCTGTGTGGGTTCTCTGATGTACTCTGAGGGATGACTTGTGGTAAAAAGTTTTGCTACATTCATTATATTTATGAAGTTTCTCTCCTGAGTGAGTTATTTGATGCTTAGTAAGAGCTGATTTCTGGTTAAATGTTTTGCTGTATTGAATACATTTATATGGCTTCTCTTTTTTATGTCTTTTTTGATGTACAGTAAGGGATGACTTCTGGGAAAAACTTTTCCCACATGCATTACATTTATATGGTTTCTCCCCTGTGTGTGTTCTCTGATGTACTATAAAAGACGACTTCTGGAAAAAGGTTTTCCCACATTCATTACATTCATAGGGTTTTTCCCCTGTGTGAGTTCTCTGATGCACAATAAGTTTTGACTTCACTGAGAAAGACTTCCCACAGTCATTACACTCATAGGGCCTTTCTCCAGTATGAGTTCTCTGATGATAAATGAAGTTTGGCTTTTGTGAGAATATTTTCCCACATTCGTTACATTCATAGGGTCTTATACCTGTGTGTATCCTTTGATGTACTATGAGGAATGAACTGTAAACAAAGGTTTTTCCACAGTCTTTACACTCATAGGATTTCTCCCCTGTGTGAGTTCTCTGATGCACTTGGAGATTTGACTTCTCACAGAATTTTTTTCCACTTTCACTACACTCATAGGGTTTATCACCTGTGTGTGTTCTCTGATATACTGTAAGGCCTGACTTATATCTGAAGGCTTCCCTACATTCAATACATTCACAGGGTTTTTGCCCTGTGTGTATCTGTGGATGAACTGTAAGGCCTGACCTATTTGTGAAGGTTTTCCCACATTCAGCACATTCATAAGGTTTCTCCCCTCTGTGTATCTTATTACGTACCACGAGAGATGAACTGTGGCTGAGAGTTTTCCCACACTCATTACATTAATAGAATCTTTCTCTTATGTGTGTTTGCTGATGTTTAAAGAGAACTGATATATGCCAAAAAGAACTCCCATAATGACTATTTTGAAAGGTTTTCTTTTCTGTGTATGTATGCTGTTGAGAGAGACTTGGTTTCTTAAAGATTCCCCTACCTTCATTACATTCAAAACTTGTTTTTCCTTTTTGAGCTCTTTCAGTGTCAATGAAGAGTGATTTCTTGCCAAAATTATTCTCACACTCATAGTATTTTTTCCCATGATTCCTCCATGGTGTTTATTTAGAGATTTCTCACTAACAGACCTCCTCCCACAGTCATTAAACTCATAGCGATTCTCCCTTGTGTGAGTTCTCTGATGAACAAGGAGGTTTGGATTGTCAGAAAAGGCTCTTAGTTGTTCATTATATTCACAGGGTTTCTTCCCAGGCACACTCTCTTATGGGTACTGAAGGCTGCCTTCTCATGAAAAGCTTTCCCACACTCAAGGTATTCAAAAATTTGCTTCAGAGTTTGAATATTCTGATGCTGAAGTAAGTCCTCATTCTGACATATGGCTTTCTCATTTCTGTCACACTCAAAAGGTTTCTTTCTGGCATAAGGATGCTCATGTCTTATACGAAGGAGCAATTTCACATGTGCACTGAGCTCATCAAGCTTCCTTACAAAGGAGTTTCTATTACTAACAATTCTGAAATATAATTCACATTCATTATACATAAGTCATATTTATGAGGTATTTTTCTCATTGGAACAAGGTTTGAATTTACATTAAATATTTCTCCTAAAACACTATTTCTGTCTTCTGTCAATATTTTGTTGGTGACAAAACCAGCTTTCCCCAAATGCTGGTCTTGGTTTTCCTGGTTCTTCTGCATCAGTTCGACTTTCCAGAATTCTGGAAATGAGAATAGTTTACCATATCTTGTAAATATGAACACATTTCATGTGGAAAGGGGATGTAATATGGAAATGCTCTAGGATAGCCCAGGCATCTGGTCTGAAAGTAATCCTGAGGGCATACATCTCACTCCCTTAGGATTAGACAAAACAAACTGAATAGGAAAAAAGGAGAGGAATCTGCAAATAAAAACACAGTAATCTTGCACTTTAGAAATGTGACTTTCAAAACTGGATAAAGTGGAATAAACAAATACAACAAATGATACTTTAGGATGAACGGTAGAGGCATGAAGGGGAATCATTAAAGGCATTGAATAGTAGGTAAAATTGCCAGAAAAAAAATTAGATGATAGTGTTTGAGAGGCAACAGCAAAGGAAAAATTAAGTTTGGAGGAGGCAAATACAGGTTTTTATCTCCTGCTGTAAAATACTCACTAATACATGTTTCCAATGCATCACTACTTCTTTTCTTTATTTTTATTTTTTGTTTTTTATTTTTTGTTTTTTCAGACATTGCCCAGGCTGGATTGCAGTGGCACAATCTTGGCTCATTGCAGCCTCCACCTCCCAGGTTCAAGCGATTCTCCTGCCTGATCCTCTCAAGTAGCTGGGATTACAGGCGCCTGCCACCACACCCGGCTGATTTTTGTATTTTTAGTAGAGACGAGGTTTCGCCATCTTCGCCAGGCTGGTCTCGAACTCCTGACCTCAGGCAATCCACCCGCCTCGGCCTCCCAAAGTGCAGGGATTACAGGCGTGAGCCACCTTGCCTGGCTCTTCTTTTCTCTTCCACTCATCAACACCAAATTACAAATTCAGAGAGCAATAACTGTCCATGTGCAAAAGAAAACTCCTATTGCCCAGACAGTAATTCTCACTCTAGCTGATTCACACAAAAAGCCAATGCCCAGAAAAAGCAGACATGTAGGCTATGGAAACAAGATCAGGTATGTAGTTTTATTCTGCTGTTTTATGTTCATTTTATTCTACCACAGTTGTCATTAATGAACCTGTCATAGCCATCAAATCATAAAATTTCCCTATTTATCAACTTACTTCATAAAGTCTTATACCTCACACAGCTCTATTTTTATATATAAAGTCATCCTTTACTTTTCATACATATAATATATAATATATAACTGTATATATTATATATATAAATATACATATATAATTTTTTAACCATTTATCTATTTCAGTATGTCTGGTTTCTCTTTCCATTATGAGCTTTAAAGACCACAGTTTTCAACCTAATCTTAGAATCTTTACTGATCTTCATACAGTTAATCCTCATTATTCATGGATTTTGTGACTACAAATCCATCTACTCATTCAAACTTATTTGTAAACCCAAAACCAAGACTCTTGGTGCTTTCGTTGTCAAGAACATGCACTGAGCACTTAAAAATTTCAGTCACCCAACACACATATTCCCAGGTGAAACTGAACAAGTCAATGCTCTAGCTTCTTGTTTCAGTTCTCATACTATAAACAAGTGCCCTTCCCTGCTACCGTTAGTGCCACATTTTTCAGTTTTGTGGGTTTTGCTGGTGATTTCACTGTTTAAAATAGTCCCCTAGTGTAGGACTGAAGTACTTTCTCTTGTGTTCCTAAGTGCAAGAAGGCTGTGATGTGCCTGTGGAGAAAATATGTGTGTTAAATTAGCTTTATTCAGGCATGAGTTGTAGTGCCGTTGGCCATAAATTCAATATTAATAAATCAGCTATGTATATTAAATAAGATTTTTTAAAAATAAACCCATATAAAAAAATATTATGTATGGATCAGCTAACAAAAATGTGGGCAAAGCCTGGCAGGAACTAACCCTGTATTTCTTCTGGGAGCAATGATTCAATATTCATTAATTCAGTGCTTGTGGTAACTTTCCAGAACATAAATACCATGAATCATGATAGTCAACTATATCTTTTTATTATGAAGTTTCCTCTGACAACCATCACTCTGTTCTTACCCAGATTCAACACAATATTAACAATACTATGGTCAAAAACCTACCCATCCTTGAGCCTAGTGTCCCAAAGCACTAAGAAAAAAAACAGATAAAGTCCACACTCACAGACCAGATCTGACAAATGGATTCTATTTGCTATTGGCAACTATCACTCCTTATTACCACAATCACTATCCTCTGCTGTCCACAATCCAAACAGTCTTTCCTCCATAAATTGCTCATCCCCAACCACAGACCTGCATTTATAAGCATCCACTTCGTTACTGGGCCTTTCAATCTCAGCCCTACTCAGCAGCAGGATGCCTTCAAGAAATAGCTATTATCCCATAATATCCAAAAAACTCTTCATAAATCTGTGCAGTTAAAAGGTGGCGATATTAACTTTTTCACTTTGTATGGCACTGCTCTATAACAAATATTTCTTTCTAACAGTTTAACTTTAAAATATTTTCATGATGGTTTTGTTCTTTTGCCACAAATGCACCCTAAGGTCCGAGCAGGTGTTGCTCTATTTCTGATTTCTTTTAAATTAGCTGAATGAGTAGTAAATCAGTGGACACATACTAGTAAGTGGAATGCATCACAATTTCTTGGAAAGCTATTTCAAAACACAAACCTTAAACTTTTGCCAATTTACTCCCAATAATCAAGCTGAATATTTTCACCTTAGCATATCTACTTGAAAAGAGTTCCTTGGTTTTCTGTGTGAATAAATATAAAAGAGTACTCACAACCCAGGCTATACAATCAACAAAGTAATATCTACTGCATGTTACTTAGTAAAAGAAGGAAGAGTAAAAGAAGGATCTTTCTCTCTAGGGGTAGAAAATTGTAATTGGTTAAAAAAAAAAACTAGTCAAGAACTTAATCTGGTCAGGTATCAGATAATCAGGTATTAGATAATCTAATAGATTAACATACAGTCATTTTATGTACATGACTAACGCAGCTAATGGATATTTCACACAAAAAAAATTAGAAAACTTCAGCTCTAACCTAAAATGTATGTAACGAGAACAACAGCAATAAGACTTTATTATATATACCAGGCATTGCTTTAACCACTTTTCACTTATTCATTCATTTAACCATCTGTACAGGAAAGATACACGCTAGAATGAAAAGGGCAAACAAGGTAAGGAGCACTACATGTTTGAGAGACATCTAGGTGACTTTACCAAATGGAGTTGGGCAGGGTTTGGGGCAACAGAGAAAAATAAATTTGGTCAGGCTAAATGTGGCCACATGTGAAGCTTGTTAAAGAACTTACATTTTAGGCCAGGCACAGTGGCTCACGCCTGTAATCCCAGCACTTTGGGAGGCCGAGGCAGGTGGATCACAAGGTGAGGTGTTCGAGACCAGCCTGGCCAATATGATAAAACTCCATCTCTACTAAAACTACAAAAATTAGCCAGTGTGGTAGTAGGCGCCTGTAGGCCCAGCTACTCAGGAGGCTAAGGCAGGAGAAACCCCTGAAGCAGGGAGGCGGAGCTTCTAGTGAGCCGAGATCACACCAGTGCACTCCAGCCTGGGCAACAGAGCAAGACTCTGTCTTTAAAAAAAAAAAAAAAAAAAAGCTTACATTTTAGGCATTAGGTTAAGAGTAGAGAAATCATAGATTTATCCTGCCAGGCTAGTAACAAGGTAAATCAGACATTTGAAGTTTTACATTTTAAATCTAATTCTATCACGAATTAGATTAATCAGAGCATGATCATAATAAATACATGGATCTGCTTGTGGGTGATATCAGTAGAAAGTAAGAATAAGAAGGTATTTTGAAGACACTTCATAAAAGTGAAAGAAGAACTGCAAAACAACATTAAGAGTGTGATCATGTATGGTGGCTCACATTTGTAATCCCACCTACTCAGGAGACTGAGGCAGAAGCAACATCTGAGCCCAGGAGTCTGGGACCAGCCTGGGCAGCACAGCAAGACCCTATCTCAAAAAAAAATGTCAGAGAGCTAGAAGATTTAAAGTGATTTCATTTTTATCAGTTATAGTAGACCTAATGAATTAAAAATGTGAAGTGATGAATTAAAAATATGAAGTGAAAATTTAAGATTTGTGAGATACAATTTTACTTTTTAGCTTTTACTATATTGAGAAAGTTAGAATTAAAACGCAAGAAGAATTTAACATAAGTAAGTAAAATACTGTAGGACTCTAGAGCAAACAGGACAAGTGAGAGAGTGATATAATTTGAGAATCACAAGCTTTAAGTCTTGAGAATGTATAAGAGAGTTGTGAATAATGTTTTGAGAGAATTGCTGTATGAGAGAACAGAAGATCCACAGGATAGCTTCTGAAGATGCATAGAAGAGCCCTGGGAATCACCATCCATCCATCTAACAGATATGTTATTATGGGACAATCGTGTGCCAGGCTTCATTCCAGCAACAGAGTATGAAGGTCTGAGCAGGGCAGACAAGAGGTGGATAAGCACTTCAAGATTAAGTTGACAGAAAGAGGGTAATATGGCAAGACGGTCATCAAAAACACAAACTTTAGAGGTGTCCCATTTTATGGCCAATGCAGACAGTCTGGGAACCTGTGTGGCACTGGCGTAGGAAGTGCTATACCTAGGGGACATAAATTCAGTCAATGCCTGTGGCAATAGTGATACACAGCAGGGTATCCATTTGCTCCTTTGTAACTTAAATCAGAGAACTCCCAACTAAACCAGCTGCTTGGGACCTAGATGGGAGGTAGAACTTTCTTTTTTTTTTTTTCTTTTTTTTTTTTTTTGAGACAGAGTCTCGCTCTGTCACCCAGGCTGGAGTGCAGTGGCGCAATCTCGGCTCACTGCAAGCTCTGCCTCCCGGGTTCACAGCATTCTCCTGCCTCAGCCTCCTGAGTAGCTGGGACTACAGGCGCCTGCCACCACACCGGCTAATTTTTTGTATTTTTAGTAGAGATGGGGTTTCACCATGTTAGCCAGGATGGTCTCAATCTCCTGACCTCATGATCCACCTGCCTCGGCCTCCCAAAGTGCTGGGATTACAGGCTTGAGCCACCGTGCCCGGCGGGAGGTAGAACTTTCATTGAATGCCTTTTCCAAAAGCTCACCACTGTGTATTCTGCGAAGTGCCTTGGTCACTATCAGTAATGTCTGGTCAGAAAGGTGTGTTCAGGTGAGGTGCTGTATTGTGGCCTTGACACCTGTTACTTTGATTTATATTCTGGGTATCTCTGAGGCAAGATATTCCCAGAGATCTTTACCCCAAAGGGGGCAACTCTTAGGCAATGGCCTAAAAATGTACTGACAGTATCATTTTTTGGCCAGGGTTAGGACATCCAGTGCTAGGACGACTGCCTGAAAGTGGCCACTGGTGTTGACCCTTGGTCAGGGGCATCCTGAATAAAGGATGGAAAGCAGCAACATTCCACCGAGCTCCAGCATGTATAGTCTAGAAACTCCTATTTCTGTTCAGTTAATCTCATAGGGATCCTCAGGTAGCCAAGGACCTCCTCCAGTACCATGGCATTTGCCAAGAGATTGAGAAGAAAGGAAGCCACCCCGCCCGCAGATGGAGTATGCCAGACGGCTCGGGTGTGGCTCCATCCTACATCAAGGAGGTTTTGGTAGCTGTGCCAAACTTGCAGGGCACTGCTTCTGTGACCCAAGGAACGATGGGCAGCTGGTATGGAGGGTCACAAGCTCAGGACCTATAAAAGCCTCCATTTCCAAGAGACCCTAGTATGTGACCAACAGTTGTTGCTCTAATGATGTACAGTGCAATGTCAAAGAGGACAGTTTCTTGCATCAGGGGCTCATGGGCAATTTGTGGCCATCATGAGTTATGAGAGAAGGCCGCGAAAGCCCCTATGGTAAAGGGGTCTTTGAGGAGACTCATGGGATTCCTGCCGTATTGCAATGTGGACAGATTCTAAAGCCTTTTGTTGAAGGGAATCTATTCAAGGTGAGCCAACTTGCAAGTAACAGCATCAGTGAAATTAAGTAAAACTTGTAAATGAGGAATATGTCACCTCTAGATCTCAAAGAGGACTAAAAGATATTCGTATTAACATTGTGTGTACTGAGAAAGTCAATAGCTGCTTCTTGATGGTGTCAGGGAAGAAATGGCCCTCAGATTACCAAATAGCTTTCAGGAATTTAACAGAGGTGACAAGACCCCTCACACAACATGTGGAGACCACTTTTTGTGTGCTCCTTTTTCAGTACTTGTATGTCCTGAATTTGTGTGTCAAAAGTAACTTCTCAAAAGATGTTGTCAGGGTAATATCATAGTTGTCCTCTTAGAGAAATTTGGATGCAGCTGAGATCTTTCCTACAAAGACTATATGATGACAAGGCTGCTACAGTACCCCATGGATAACCTGGTAGAGGCATACTGTGTCCCTTTAAAAATGAAGGAAAACTACAGCCTAGAGGCTGTTGAAATAGGCTCTGAACAGAGCATATTAGCCATGTGATGGCTAATACGGAGTGTCAACTTGATTGGATTGAAGGATACAAAGTATTGATCCTGAGTGTATCAGTGAGGGTGTTGCCAAAGGAGATTAACATTTGAGTCAGTGGGCTGGGAAAGGCAGAGATACCTTTAATCTGGGTGGGGCACAATCTAATCAGCTGCCAGCATGACTAGAATATAAGCAGGCAGAAAAAGGTGAAAAAGACTGGCCTAGCCTCCCAGCCTACATATTTCTCCTGTGCTGGATGCTTCCTGTCCTCAAACATCGGACTCCAAGTCCTTCAGTTTTGGAACTTGGACTGGCTCTCCTTGCTCCTCAGCCTGCAGACAGCCTATTGTGGGACCTTGTGATGATGTGAGTTAAGACTTAATAAACCTATCTATATATATATATATATATATATACACACACACACCCCCACACACAAGTACACACATTCCATTAGTTCTGTCCCTCTAGAGAACTGTAACACAGATTTTGGTATCAGGAGTGGTTCTAAAGGAACAGAATATTAAGTATGAAGTTCTTTCATTGGTTTTGGGAGTTGGCTGCTTGCTATGATTAGACCCAAAAATGCTAAGGGCTCTACTTCTAGTAGTATGAAAAACACTGATAGTCCTTGGCATGAACTGTTTAGATAGTTATGCAAAATAAACACACTAACACTCCTGATTCATTGCTCGTGAGAGGCAAGGAGTTTAGTAACTCTATATGTAATACCTTTGACCATATGTGAAGAACTAAGGAACATAATGAAGCTGCTTGCTTGCTCCTACATTCAGTGGACAAAGTGGTGAAAGAAAATGATTAACTAGGCCAGGCGCAGTGGCTTATGCCTATAATCCCGGCACTTTGAGAGGCCAAGGCGGGCAGATC